AATTAGCAGGAATAACTTGGGCCCGTATGGCCAAAAAGACAACAATAGGCCCAACTACAAAGAGAGTATGTGAGGGAGTCTCAGCATACTCCGCTACCTTGTTCCATGCCGATTGACTTTTCAGCACGCAGTTCACTATATTTTCTGGGCTGATGGACAAACCTAGATATCTCTCGAGTTCCGTCCTTATCTCCTCGTATAGAGGGCATCGAAAGAACACGTGCTCCGCATCTTCGGTCACCACGCGGCAATGGTGACAGTTCGGGGAGTCACTTCTCTTGAATCTGTGCAAGTATGCTCGAAAGCATCCATACCCAGTCAAGAGTTGGGTGATGTAGAATCCAACCTCTCCGTGCACACGGGTGATCCATTTGGTGACATCCGGGATTAGTCGATGTGTCCACCGACCTTTCGACGAGCTGTCCCATCTCACTCTCTCTAGGAGATAGTGATTGGTACACAACTAAGTATTAGTCTTTAATTCTCAGTTTATGGTACCCAAGTAGCATTTTCACGACTTGCGACCATATGTTTAATAAACACAACGTTGGATTAGTTACAAAAAATAGTTAGCTCCCTACCTTAGGTATTAAAATAAATTTAAACGTTTTTATAACGTTGTGCCGACGTTGGACTAGTACTACATCAAAGTAGAAGCTTCTGCGACGTCGAATAAACGTTGTCTTGTAACCTTTTTTGCTTAAGTGATCTTTAGGTGATTCGGACAACGTAGTTACAACGTTAGACAATATAGAGTTTTGCGACGTCAGTTTCAGGACCTATTCCAACGTTATGCAAACGTCGTCTGTTTTACTAATTCCAACGTTGTTTAGATTTCCTTATTCTTACGTTGGTAGGACGTCGAGTCACTACCTTTTTGCAACTGTATTGAACCATAACCTTAAATCTTAAATTTTCACTTCACTGTTCTGTTCAGTCAGACAGTTCAGTGCTGTTTTTGTTTTTATAAAAAAAATTAATTAAAATGGGACATAAGAAAGGTACATATAAAACTAAATTCAAATATACATCGACATATATTACCGATGGTTTATCCACTCCCTCGTTTATTTAGATTATAGAGGGCGGCACAAGCTAGACTCTAGGATGACTAAATTAGGCAATCTTGCGACTAGTACACTACCTGTTAAGGCCGAACTGCGACTTTATTAGTCCAGTATGCGACTACTCGAACTACTCCATCTTAATCTCCAAAACAACAAAGTGAAAGCCGCCATGTTGTTAAATAAGAAAATGTTTTGTTCCTAAAATAGCAATTCCTGCTTTTTGAATACATTAACTTGAAATATTTGATCCTAAAAAACACGCGGAAACAATGTTTTCGACTGCAAATAAATTATTCTCATTTTACTAAAAAAAAATTCAAGAAAATTATTAAAACTTCTTTAATTTTAAGGCCCATTAGTATTTTTCAAAGTAGAAACAATACATTTATCAATAATGTTGTTTGCGTTTAATTTTTTTTCCTTGGGTAACGAGTTACAGAGTCGGTTAAAGTGTTTCAATAATTATGATCTTCAAACATCCTCCACACTTAAATACTTTTGTTTCGTTTTCCTTCACTGCCATCTGACATATGTCTCTAACTAAATCATAAAAATAATATTTTTACTATAATTATCCCAATTTAGGATAAAACGCGACTTAGACGCCATATTAGTTTTGTATTTCTGTGAATTAGGATTTTAAACAACGTTGCAGTTTGTACTAAATTAGGCTTCTAGCCAACGTCGGTATCCAACGTCGTTTCGACCCAAAAATCATTCTCCAAACTAGTGCAGACTAGGGTTGGCACGAGGTTGCGCCGACGTTGTGCCCCGACGTTTGGTCGCGTGACACAACGTTGTCCCGACGTCCAAATGCTGCTTGGGTAATCATTATAACCTTTAGAATTTATAGATGCGTTTTGATTAAAATCTTGTTATATTTAAATTAATATTAATTTTCTAAGTATTACTACTTTAATCCTTGTTTTCTATTATTAATTAAAATTTCAGTAAAAAATCTAGAAAACGTTTTATTCTAAAATTGTTTCTACCGCCGCTGTTTGGTAAGATATTAATTAAAAAAAGCTACTAACCAATTTAAAAGTTTTCGGCAACTATACAATACCAATTTAAAACTTCTAAACACTTTGAAATAGCTTTCATGGTTGGCAAAGTTTTTTTAATGCATTTTTATCCTGTTGTGAGAAACTTGTTGTCATATAACTTTCTACCACATGATTTAATTAAACTACAGGAATGGATAGAATAAGAATGGTCTCAATTGGTTTCAATCATTAATTGACTGATATTTTACTTTGAAATGTTCCAATTAAAAATATTTTTTTGGTAAAGTTTTGAGAAACACTCGATCTTTTCTGGATTTCCTTTCTTGTAAATTTAATCTCCTACCTATGTTGCCACATTATCAACAATATACAGGGTGGCCCGAACTGTATTCCGGAAACTTTGGCAGCATATTCCGCAGATAATAATAAGTAAAAAAGTTCGTATAAATATATGTGCGAAAATGCTTCGCTTCGGAGATACAGGGTGTAGAAGTTTCATTTTTATTTCGATTTTTTCCCAATAATTTCTGAAGTAACGTCAATATTTGGATGAAAATTGGTGTCTGGGAGTTTTTTCGCATGAGTAATTTGATTTTGATGTCAATATGACTCTTATTTGTAGGGGCGTCACTTACATGTGTTTTAACTGTTTTGAAAAGTAATAACTTTTCTCGTCCGTACCTGTATAAAACTACTTTTTTTTACGTAATTTTCTACGTAAAAAATGTTTCTTGGTAAAAATCGCTACAAACAAGCGTTCTCAAGATATTTAGAACGGAAATAGTCAATACATGTCATTATTGACCAAAAATAAACATGTTGAATAGATAGTTATTTGACTGAAAATTCCACACCTGTAATTTTCAGTCAAATAACTATTCAACATGTTTGCACGGTCAGCTGTGACAACCGATGACTATTTCCGCTCTAAAACAGACAACATTTATCAAGCGTTTACGTAGGCGAAACAGTTTTAGTACGGTTGTGTGCTTTCAAGGCTATTAGCTTCCGCCCCTGGCAAGTCATATTGACATCAAATCAGAGGCCGCGCTCCCCCCACTCGTCAATATTGTTGTAACGAGAATCGAGGTAAAATGAAACTTCTCTTGCATCTTTATGCGAACTTTGCAGTATCTTGCGCTCTCTTGCCAAGGTTGGGGCTGGTTCGGCCTCCTGTGTTGATGTGTTTGTGACAGGAACAAATTTACAAGAAAGGAAATCCCGAGCGTCAGTCTGCAAAAATATTTTTAATTGGAGAAATTCAGAAATAAATATCGTCGAATATGATTGAGTGAACCATTCAATTCTATCCATTCCTGGTTTGGTAAATCGTAATGGTGAAAGATATGTGACAACGGACTCTCTGGCAGGATGCGTTAAAACTTTGCCAGCCTCGCTATTTCAAGGAATGTTTAGGATTTTAAGAGGTATTGTTATTTGGTTGCCAGCCCCAAGTGATTGTGGCACCCCAGTGGCTTACAGGCAGCAGAATAAACATTTTCTGGAGCGTTGCTTTTGTTACCAAAAAATTGATTATCTGTTTTTATTTATATAAAAAATATTAATTTAAATATAATAGATTTTCGATATAAAAGCGCATCTAAATGTTAAGGGACCGCAATGATCACCATAGGCTGGGAATTAAGACTGGTACTGACTGATGTGCCAGCTCGCATCTTCTGAAATGGTTTTTAAAACTTCTTTAATTTTAAGGCCCATTAGTATTTTTCAAAGTAGAAACAATACATTTATCAATAAAGTTGTTTGCGTTTAACTTTTTTGCCTTGGGTAACGAGTTACAGAGTCGGTTAAAGTGTTTCAATAATTATGATCTTCAAACATCCTCCACACTTAAATACTTCTGTTTTGTTTTCCTTTACTGCCATCTGGCATATGTCTCTAACTAAATCATAAAAATAATATTTTTACTATAATTATCCCAATTTAGGGGAAACGCGACTTAGACGCCATATTATTATAGTTTTGTATTTCTGTGAATTAGGATTTTAAACAACGTTGCAGTTTGTACTAAATTAGGCTGCTAGCCAACGTCGGTATCCAACGTCGTTTCGACCCAAAAATTATTCTCCAAATTAGTGCAGACTAGGGTTGGCAAGATGTTGTGCCGACGTTGCGCCCCGACGTTTGGTCGCGTGACAGAACGTTGTCCCGACGTCCAAATGCTGCTTGGGTAAAATCAAAGAAGCGATTGCCATACATTACTAACATCTACAGATGCATGAGCAATACATTTATTTTTATTATATTGTATTAAAAAAGCCTCTTTTATTTTTCTTTTAGAGGCTATCTCTTCTTTCATTATAATTTTGGTGTTATTAAAATTTATTCTGTGCCCTGTGTCCCATGAATGCTGATAAATCTCAGATTTGTGAAAATCTCCCTTTCTTAAATAATATTTATGTTCTTTAATTCGAACATTTAGGGGTCTAGATGTTTCACCAATGTAATATTTAACGCATTCGCATGGTATTTGGTATATTACATTTTTTGTTTGTTGTTCTGTATTCATGGGTTATTATTATATGTTATTAATATTTAGAGTTTAAAATAGTGCGCGGACAAGTGACAGCGTTCAGCGATGAAGTAGAGGAATCCATATCGTTTTATTTGATGCGTGCGTGCCCACGAAAATCCTGTTAAACGAAAAGGATAGACTTATGCAAGATTGACATTCCTATTTCTTTTCTTTGGCTTCACTTTCCACTCATTGTGTAAATGCGGTATTAGCAATATATTCTTATAATATATCTGTATTTCATGACAATGTTTTAATTGTTTCTTATAAGTGCGATCCAAGAGCAAGTTATAATTTTTGTTATCATTTCTAAAATTACCAAGAACTTGTGAACCATATCCTCAAAAATTATGTTAATGTAAAGAAAAAAAAACAATTTTATTTATTCTTTTAGGTCGTGACGTTCAACACAATATAACTTATTCAGTTATAACAAACAACACTCAGGGCGCAATGCTCTACATGGCTGCCGGTGAAGTCAACCCTATAGTAACAATCGAAAGAAACCAGATCAAATCAAACTGCAGAGCGCTGTACGGAAATTTTACTACTTGTAAATCTTCGGTTGAAATTGACGTTCAAAATACTCAATCCATATTCTTTAGGGTAAATTTAAACATCATAATTAGTTTTGTCTTCATTAATAATTAAAAAATTTCAGAGTAACTTAGTAGAACAAAATATCGGAGGTTTGTTCATTAAAGCCGATTCTCGAAGCTCAGCTACATCTCTACAAGGCTGGATCTACAACAATCTCTTTGTGAACAATACCAATTTGCCTACTTTATACGTAGAAGGGAGACAGTCATCCCCGTATCAAGAAGTAACAATTTTTAGGAATTATTTTACGAGAAACTACGCACAATATCACAATAATATCGTGCTGAAACAAGTTGTTTCGAATTTTACTTACAATTTTGTTAGAAGGAATATAGGACAACAGAATTTAGAGGTGTCTGGTTTCGATAAAGTGAGATTGAATATCTTTCAAACAACTACACACAATGGATTCTACAAGTAGGTGTTTTATTTTATATACAGGGTTGTTCATCACATACGACACGGAGCATTGTAGCCAAACGATTAGATTTTTACAAATTGTAAGTTTTGGGTTCGTTGAAAGACAATTAGAGCTACAATTTAAAAATAATTTTGCATGATACAGAGTGTCCGAAATAAGTAAAAAATATTATAGTTGTATTTTTTTAAATGTAACGCCCTGTATAAATCAGTCAAATAAAGGTAAATTTGACAAAGGTCACAATCAGAGTCAAATAAAGGTAAATTTGATTAAGGTTTATCGCACTTAAACCTTACCGTTTTGAAATATTTTCAATTTTGTGAAATTGCAGTAAAAAATTTAAGGCTTCATTTCTCCAAGGGTATTAAAGGTTTTAATACTAACTATTTACTGAAGATTATTTATTGATCAGATATTATGTTGCAATAATAAAAATTATACTACCTTATACAGAGTGTTTAAAAAATTATATTAAATAATTACTAGCTTTAAGCGGCAAGAACTTGTTTAATTTAAATAGAACACCCTATATATTTTAAGTGAATCAGATGCACAATTTAATTGTCTATCAAATTGTATTATACCATTTTTTACCTATTTCTTTAAGTTTTTGTAGGAAATACATTTTCTTCTAATTTAGACCTCATTTATCACTATATCCATGGAATATTGATATTTTAGATTTTTTTAAAGCAACATATGTACAAAATGCACAGATGGTAAAAATAATAATATTGCAAGCCCATTTGTTTACAAAAAGAAAACTATTAAATCTTTCTAAAAGAGTATACCAATTATTACTAATTATTAATATACGTCTATTATGTCCGCCTAGCAATTAGTTAATTACATACTTAATTGTTTTAATTAATAAATTGTAACGTTTTTAGTTCGTTACATGTCTTTTTTATATATAATATGTGATGTCTGGCCTATCATCACCAGATTCCCTCTCGTTCAGGCCGGATAGTTTATTTGACACGTAATTTTTACGTTCTCTAGTCGGCAACCCTGCTATCGTTTCACTGTTCTGTGGAGGCGCTGTCAACATCGCTTCTGTCAACTCTCTCCGTGCTTAACGTCACTTGGCTTTGACTGTCCGACTGTCACCACCAAAAAATCCTTGCTTCGAGAAACTGCAATTATAAAAATCTTGCTGTATAATTTGAATCAGCTGCTATTTCGAAGTTACAGGGTAGAGTTTTGGATGTCCCAACCTAACTTGTATTTGTATTTTGCTGGCACGTTGGCGTCTGCTATGATCACCTGGTCGTCCGCGAAGCAAAGTTTGTAGAGCATGTTATCCCTTATGGGTACTCCCATATTTCTACATTTTTGCTTCCAACCTTTGAGAACTTGTTCGAGATATATCTTGAACAGTGTTGGTGAAATACAGCACCCCTGTTTCAGACCTTTGGTTCCATTAAATCCTGTTGTTAACTTTTTGCCGACTTTTATTCTAGTTTTTGTTTTTTGTTTGCAAAATTTGTAATAACATTAAAATCAGTCAAAGTCGCAGTTTTTGAGATATTCCGTGTTTCCGTAGTCCGTTTTTGAGAAAATCCGTGTGGAGAACTCCAAACTCCCATCGGACGCGACCCCAGGTGGCGGATAGTGGAAATTAACCGCGGACCAAAATTGGAAAAATTCCTTTACTTTGAAACTAAAAGAACTGCCTACCAACTTTTTATTAAAATATTTTAGTATGAGCGGCTATACGTGCCTCCCGGTGCCAATCTTTTTAAATGGAACTATAAATTGGCATGCTCATTGGCATATTAGGAAAAATCATATTTTTACAAATATTTTGGTACCACATACTTGATATTTTGTGTCAAATGGGGTCCTCGCACGTGTCGTGTAAAATTCAAATATTGAGTCATATTGTGGTTACATTTATGCGGTCATGTCTCATCTACATTGGAATTTATAACGCCTTTTTTAATTGAAGACATACAACATATATGATATATCGAGTGAAGTAAAAAAATTCCGAAGGTGTCATTTAAAAATCAAAAGTTTGTCATTTCCGGTGAAACAGGAAGTGACCGAAAACAATTCAATACGTTAATCAATCCTAATTTATGTCATATACTCACATATCAAATCTCGTTTTTGTTATTAATCCAGTAATATTACGATTTACCCGACATAATTCAGAAAGTTTTGAAAATTGGTAGGTATGTTGGGGATAGCATGAGGATTACTAAACCGAAAAGTTCCCACCCCAAAATAGTGTGCATCATCCCCCAGGATATCGTTTCTACCCCCCATTTTGAGTTTTTTTAGATAATCTCGACAACGGTGCAATTCTCGCCAAAAAATACCTATACAGGGTTGTTCACCACATACGACACGGAGTATTGTAGCTAAACGATTAGATTTTTGCAAATTGTAAGTTTTGGGTTCGTTGAAGGTCAATTAGAGCTACAATTTAAAAATATTTTTACAAGATACAGAGTGTCCCAAATAAGTAAAAAATATTATAGTTATATTTTTTTAAATGGAACACCCTGTATATTATTCTATTTTTGGATTCTACGATTGAAATAAAGGTAAATTTGATTAAGGTTTATCACACTTAAAACTTACCGTTTTTGAAATATTTTCAATTTTATGAAATTGCAGTAAAAATTTTAAGACTTTATTTCTCCCAGGGTATCAGAGTTTTTAATACCAAATATTTATTGAAGATTACTTATTGATCAGATATTGTGTTGTAGTAATAAAAATTTTATTACCTTATACAGAGTGTCCAAAAATTTATATTAAATAATTACTAGCTTTAAACGGAAATAACTTGTTTAAATTAAATGGAACACCCTATATATTTTACGTAAATCAGATGCACAATGTAATTGTCTATCAAATTTTATTATACCATTTTTTACCCATCTCTTCAAGTTTTCGTAGAAAATGCATTTTTTTATAATTTAGACCTCATTTATCACTATACCCATGGAATATTGACATTTCAGATTTTTTTATAGCACCATAATATGTACAAAATGTACAGGTGGTAAATATTGCAAGCCCATTGGCATACAAAATAAACTATTTAAATATTTATAAAAGAGTATACCAATTAAATATACCATCATTATTTCCTACCAAAAACACCAAAAATTAGTTAATTACATACTTATAAATTGTTTTAATTAAAAAATTATTCTAAATAAATGTGGATTTGGCTCAGAAATCAATATAATAAGTTATAAAAATGAATGTCTGTGTTTTTATAAATAAGCATTCGTTAATAAATGAAGTAAAATCTATAAGGTGTTGCTTTTTACCACACTGTCTAATACAAATACAAAATTCAGTTTTTTAGTATTTGGAGCAATTATTACTATAACGTAAACAGTCAAATAATGTAGTTTGAATACTGGGATCATATTAATTGGTCCTCTTTAACAAAAAATATTTACACAGTTTTTTTTTATTTTTTAATTAAATAAGCGAACTAGATATATCGACAATATTAGTATCGTACCCTTTGAAAATTTGTTATATCTTTAAAAATAAGCTAAAATGTCAATATTCCATGGGTATAGCGATAAATGAGGTCTAAATTATAAGAAAATGCATTTTCTATGAAAACTTGAAGAGGTGGGTAAAAAATGGAACAATACAATTTGATAGACAATTACATTGTGCATCTGATTCACGTAAAATATATAGGGTGTTCTATTTAAATTAAACAAGTTATTGCCGTTTAAAGCTAGTAATTACTTAATATAAATTTTTGGACACTCTGTATAAGGTAGTAAAATTTTTATTATTGCAACACAATATCTGATCAATATATAATCTTCAGTAAATATTTAGTATTAAAAACTTTGATACCCTTGGAGAAATAAAGCCTTAAATTTTTTACTGCAATTTCATAAAATTGAAAATATTTCAAAAACGGTAAGGTTTAGGTGTGATAAACCTTAATCAAATTTACCTTTATTTCAATCGTAGAAACTAAAAATAGAAGAATATACAGGGTGTTCTATTTAAAAAAATACAACTATAATATTTTTTACCTATTTGGGACACTCTGTATCTTGTAAAAATATTTTTAAATTGTAGCTCTAATAGTCCTTCAACGAACCCAAAACTTACAATTTGTAATAATCTAATCGTTTAGTTACAATACTCCGTGTCGTATGTGGTGAACAACCCTGAATAGAAAATTGTTCTTCATAAAATTCTCTATCAAAAAGATACTTACACTTTTTTTCTAAAGTTAATAATAAAGTGGCAAATAGGGCGCAAATATAAGAGTTGGTTATGACTAACACCATCTGCAGTTCAATCTAATTTAAAGTTTAATGTTTAACGCTAACAAAAAACAGAAACCACTAAATTAAACTTAGAATTTTAATATACGTACTTCTCTCACACTCCTCTACACAACCACTAATGGCGAGTACAAATAATATAGTGTTTTTGCAATTTTTTAAAAATGTTGCGGATTGTAAATCTTGAAAACTGTAAATCCTTTTGCAAGTATTACCCTGTTTTTCTTTTAAAAATTTGATATCTTTGTCAGAGGGAGAAAGTGCAATAAGAAGAACTAGCAGGTCCATCAATGACATACTCGCTGTTTTCAAAAATATGGTTTCGTTCTGGAACTTTATTGACAATCTGGTATAAAGCTGCTTTATTAGTTTCCCTCATTAGGCCTTTCGCATCGAAAAGAGAAAGAGATACTGAAGCTAATTCGAAACTAAAACACTTTTTTAACTCCAGGCTAGAATGAACGGTGCAAATAATTCTTTGAAATAGTAATGTTGAGTCAACTTGAACATCATTGCCATTAATTTTCATTCTATTGCTCAAACTAGATATCGGCTTTTCACGATTTGTACGACGCGCTTTTAAACTTCTAAATAAAATCCCATCTTTTACATTTGATAATTAGTGAATTAGGCCTACAGGGGATACCACTTTAAAAAAAAACGCATCAAATACTTTACCTCTAGGGTGATGTAGAAATAAGTAGCGATGGGAACTATCGAATGAATTAGACTATCGAATGGTTAATGAATGAATGATTTCAACTATCGAATGGTTTTATTCGAATAAAATCATTCATTCATTTGTAAACTAAAGCATATGTGACAACCTCGCCGTGCGACTAAATGGTTATCGTTGAGCCACGACTATCGAATGCTTTTGATAAATGAAATTTAGTATTCGTTTGGATTTTGTATGCGTCAGTGCATTATTGGTTCTCCCAAATTTTTATAACTTCGCCGTATAAATACTGTGCTATTTTTGCGTTTTTTAAAATAGTTAAAATACTGAAATAGTAGTTATTTTTTAATTTTATTTATTGACGATTGTGTGCATGTGCAGGTGGTCAAAATTTTTCCGATAATTTGTGTGGTTTTCCGTAGTCCGATCTTTCAATTATTTCATTTTATATGGTATATGGTCTATTTTTTAATGGGAAATTTTGAGAAGTAGCAATTTTAAGACAGATGAGATGAACTTACAATTAATTTTAAAAATACATATTTGTATTTTAGATGTTTTAATAATACCTATGAATTAGTTGGAACTTAATAATTATATTTAAGTAATGTGGTTAAATAAATGGTTATCGAACTCAAACTATGGGGTGAGAAAATTAAAATGAAAATTTTACACGTGCCAATTTAAAAAAAAAAAGTTAACGATGTTTGTATTTTGTTTATGCTAATTCTCTTACATGTAGTTTTTTGCGAAGAAATATTTCATTTATTTTTTAAAGTAAATGCCAGTAAAAGTAAATATAATTTTTAAATAGTAATATAAAGCACCTAATATAAATAATTTTGATTTCTAATTTTTTATTTATATTTTCCTTCCATTACACCGCTTGCTTAGAAAATTAATAAATATTTATATTTCATGATTTTAAAATTTGTTGTTAATATAACAAATTAGTTCTGTAATTATTATTATTTAATAAACCAACGTTGCCAAAAAAATTAGAGACTATATTATTTTTAAATAGGATCTAATATAAATAATTTTGACATCTAATTTGTTGTTTATATTTTGCTACTACTTAAAAAAAAATATTTATATTAAATGATTTTAAATTTTGTTGTTAATAGGTATAACAAATTATTACTGTTATTATTATTTATTAAACCAGTCTTTGCTTAAAAACATTAAAAATAATTTTCCTACATCCAAAATAACAAGTATTATTGCAGTGTAACAACAGAATATTAATAAAAAAATGCAGAATATATAGACATACTATCCCTAACTAACTAAAGCCAAACAATAATATTCTTTGCTAATATCAACTAATACAAAAATATGGCAACAGCGCCCTTCATAATGTATTTTCTGTGTAAATACTAGCTAGAGATGAGCAGAAAATCGCAAACTGCGATTTAATCGCAGCGATTGTAAATTCGCAATCGCAACCTGTGATTCCTTTCCATAACAAACTGCGACTTGCGATTGAAACATATATCTGCCGATTTTGGATTTTTAGGCAACCAATATTACACCAGTTGCGATTTGCAATCGCAGTGGGCACGCGAACGAAAATCACAGCATTGCGATTTTCGTTTGCACCGGCGGTGCATCGACACGGCACTGAGAAGCCGAACGATGAGCTGGGAACGAAAATCGCAATATTGCGATTCTCGTACGCACCGGCTGGCGGCGGCGCGTCATCAACACGGCAGTGGGCAGGCGAACGAGGAGCTGAACGAAAATCGCAGCTCATCCCAACATTGCGATTGCGATTTTCGTTGGCACCGGCGGCGCGGCATTGGGAGTGGGCACGCCAACGAAGAGCTGCGATTGTGATTTTCGTTCGCAGCTCTCAACACATCGGCCTAGACTAGATCGCAAAATCACATTCGCAATCATGGAAAATAGGCTTATATATGTTTATATACCGCATAATATATATGTATAATTTTTTAGTTTTAAATTTTGATAATAGTTTTAGATTTATAATATAATTATGGATTTAGAAGGTTAAAAAATTCTTGTTTTCGGTTATGACTAATTATAGTTACAGTTGCTCCCAGGTAATGATTCAGGTAAAATAATTCATTCAAGGACAGTTTTGGATTCAAATTATAAAAAAATATCTATTTTTATCCTTTATTTACTAGAAGATATAGATCACGAAAAAGAAACAGCCCTTTCTCTTTATTTTTTTTGTTATATGTATATTATATTATTATAAACATTTTTATAACAATCCATAATATAATATAATTTTCTAAACAATTGTGGATCGGCTGCTATGTTAATTTAAATACATCCTTTACAATCAGTTTTTTTATTTTAGAGAAATTTCAAATATAATAAAATGTGATATTGTCCTTTTATTTATCTAAAAGTTCGAAAGTTTGCACTTGCACTGGACGGACCGTATCAAAGCCGTCGGCGTCGGCTTCTTTTGAGTTACATATAAAGAAAATGTTTTTAAAAGAAAAAAAAAAGATAAAATAAACAGTTTTTTTTCTCGTTATCTGAATTAAGGTTGGCGGCAACCTTTTTTATAATAAATTTTTCGTTAGTATACCTACAGACTGTCTAAAAGCACATTCGAATATTTTGAACATTTTATGTATTTTTTTCCCTGTTAAATTTATTCGGTCTATTCTTATCAAAAATGTTTAAAAAAGGAAACGAAGTTATTTGTGGTTTGGTTTGGTTTGATTTTTTTTGGTAATTGATGAAAATTTTGCAAAATTGCAATATGTGTGCAGAGCAAAAATATAATAAAAAACACTTTAAAAGGCATATGGCATCGAAACACCCAACAGTTTCTTTGTAAGATTTTATTAAAAAAAAATTATTCCCCTATTTATTCTGTTTTTTCTCAAAAATTTTGGGATTGAGCTTCCCAGTTTACAGCGTACCAATTTAAAAATATCAAAATCGCAATCGCAGGTTACAGTCGCAGCGATTTACAAATCACAATCGCAGTTTCAACTGCGATTGGAAAATCGCAGTTTTGCTCATCTCTAATACTAGCACCTCAATAAAAAAAATAATGTGTCCTTATCTATATATGACTCCGCAAAAAATCAAAGATGCCGGCTTCTTTCATAGCATTGCCACCGACCGCTTTCTCGGAAAAAAACCTACGTCGCCGGGCGACAACTAAAATTCAGTTAATATTTTATTATAATCGATCCTGACGAATAAATGAATTTCATAAATGAATGAATTTTATAAATGAATGAATTTTATAAATGAATGAATTTTATAAATGAATGGATTTTATAAATGAATGGTTTTTGCTGCCGAATTACTAGAATACAATATTTCAAGGCCGATGACGGATCTATTCGATAATTTTTATTCGAATAGTTTTCAACGAATGTTTTCTTACTAACTATCGAATTATTCGAATGAATTGCAACTATCGAATGTTTCGATAGTATTCATTCGATAGTTCCCACTACTAGAAATAAGTACAAATCACCCTTTTTATAGGGGTAGAGGAGTGTGAGAGAAGAACGTATATTAAAATTCTAAGTATAATTTAGGGGTTACTGCTTTTTGTTAACGTTAAATGTTAAATTAGATTGAACTGCAGATAGTGCTAGTCATAACCAATCCTTATATTTGCGCCCTATTTGCCACTTTATTATTAACTTTAGAAAAAAAGTGTAATTACCTTTTTGATAGAGAATTTTATGAAAAACAATTTTCTATATAGACATTTTAGTCGAGAATTGCACCGTTGCCGAGATTATCTAAAAAAAAAACTCAAAATGGGGGTAGAAACGATGTCCTGGGGGATGAGGCACAGTATTTAGGAGTGGGAACTTTTCAGTTTATTAATACATATGATGTCCTGATTATTTCCACCAATTTTGAAAACGTTATGAATTTTGTCGTATATATCGGAATTTGAGCCATAATATTACTGAACTATATCTAAACAAATAAAAAAGTTGACCCATTTTTGAGAAACACCCGGTATAACAAAATACACGGGGAAAAGTACCCTAAATATTTTAGACAGTTGAGCTACTAGAACACTCTCTGTGTAACATTCCCAAACAAGAATTTCATGAAAAAATGCTGTCTGATTAGATAGTGACATTTACACATCAAATTAACGACATTCAGACGTCAAATTTCACATTATTAATGTGTGCCGTTTTTGAAAATCTGCCGTGATTTCGGTTCTTCTTTATGTAGCTTCTTTCCTTATGTAACTAAATATTTGTTTAGGAAAATATCCTCATATTTTAAAAACACAATCTAATTTTTTGCATTTATTAATTTACGCCGCCCTGTATAATATAAAAAATACTCATCCGACTTTAATAATGTCTTTTTTGCAGGTAGTTCCATTCAGTTTTTAATACCTATTACTACTCCTTTAAAGACAGAATGGTTGAAGAAAAGAAAGTACTTGTTTTGTACACTGGAGGTACCATTGGAATGATGAAGACTACTAAAAATAATGGTAATATAATAATTTAATCATTAAATAATAAGACAGTCAAATAAAAATAATATGGTAGCTATTTTGAAACACACTTATTGGTTTTGTTTGACTTTTCTCTATACAGAAACAAATATGTTTCTTTTGTGGATTTAATGGGCTTTTTTGTTATTATTTTGTTTTATTCTTTATGTAAGTTTTATGCAAAATGTTATTGTAAGATTATTATTAATATTAGAAACATGATTCAAAATTAACTACTTTCAAAATTATGCCATACAATTAATTATAATTTTATTCTTGCATTGATTACTACGTGTTTGAAGAATAGTTAAGAGGTGTTTAAGAGGTGAATAACATTATATAGTCTGAGAGCTGGCTACATAAAAAACCTTATCATCGTTACATGGCTAATTTTTTGTGTGAACTATCCTTTTGTGTAGCCATTATGAAATAGTCATGTCTGCCAGCGCGATCCCGGGGCTTAGAGCGGGGGCGACCAATCGAAAGGGTGAAATTTTGACACTAAAAATATTATAAGGTACACGAGTTATAGTTGCGAAAATAGCTTTTATTTATTATTAAGAAACGTGGAAAATTGTTGGGAGACATTTTTCTCGTCGCTAAAATGCCGACAGACAACGCGAAAGAGGCCATGAAATTTTAAAAATTATCTCAAAAATTATTAAAAAATGAAATTTGAAAAATAAAAAATAACTATGGCATACATGCATGTCGATTGGTGGAATGTCATAGTTATTAATTTTAAAAGCCGTATGCAAAAGGGCAGACAAAAATATCGTGGCTAAATCAGCTGCAGACAGTTATCAAAAGCGCGATATTACTCTAGCGCTTTCAGGGAACGCTCGCCGCCTCATCCATTTAAGTATAGATAAATCATGTATACGATTATATGATAAATATATTTTTTATTATTTCAAAACAGATATCATACATTTACGATTCTGTCTCACCGATTTGTATCTGACTCATCGTACTGCAGATCCCCGCTCTCGCAAACGAGTCTTCTTCTGAGTCGATATCTGCACCGAAATTTTTTTGCAGATTTACAGGTATTATGTTTCAATTGATAACACGGCCAGCGTTTCCTGAAAACGCTTGTACAGGGTGAGTCTTAAATAAGTGAAGATACTTTTAAGGGTGATATATTTCGACCCTAGGAACTCATTTATGAATTTTTTTTCGCAAAAAAGATGTAGAAAATCGTGCATTATTTTTAAATTTTCCTGTATATTTTAGAAATTTACTAACGGTATAATTGTTTCTTAACCTATCATGCTTACGACTTTACTCTATGGTTATGTTAGTGTCATACTAGATGCAAGTAAAAAAATAATAATGGATGCAAGTACAGAAAAAAACAGGTGTCTCGCAAAATTATTTAAAAATAAATCAATTTGTTTTTAAATTTTCAAACTTGAATAACTCGGTTATTTTGGACTTATTTGGAAAACGGTAAAAAGAAAATATGTTTCTTTTATCGAGAGCTACCAGCTATGAAAATACTTGCACTAATTCAAGATTCATCCTGTAAAGTAATATCGCGTTTTTTATAACTGTCTACCGTTGATTGAGCCACGATTTTTTTGTCTGTCCTTTTGCATGCGGCTTTTTAAATAAATAAACATGACATTCCACCAATCAACATGCATGTATGCCATGATTTTTTTTTGTCAAATTCCATGCCTCTTTCGGGTTGTCTCCCGGCATTTTAGCCACGAGAAAAACGTCTGTCAACAGTTTTACACGTTTCTTAATAATAAATAAAAGCTATTTTCGTAATTATAACGTGTGTATAGTTTGACAAATATAGTGTTACGTTTTTCGTCGGTTCCGTGTGGATAGAAAGTCACAATTTATTTAAACACTATTTATTTAACACTAATTAACAAAAATAATAACGATAAAAGACTTATAGAACTATTTACAAACGATTTATAACTAAGAATTTATTTTGAATTTTAGCGCGTCAACTGTATATTTATAACTGCCCTCTCTAGGCCACTGCCGCCGGCTTTTATACCGACAGGTAAAAGAAATCTAGAATAGTCCAAAGATCGTTAGGCGCATAGAGAAGGTTTTCGAATGTTCTCGTATGTACTAGTCCATTCTAGTGGATCTCGATTCTTCTCGAACGAATGAATCATTGCGGTGTCTATGCGATGTTAAGGTCATCCGAGGGCGGGCCATATTGTGAGGTTAGGTCGAGTCCACACCGGCTCGCAACAATAGGAAGAGACTTGGGGATAGCACCGGTCGCGCATACGATAGAGAGAGAACGCATTCGGCGGAAGAGAGATACAGTTACGCTACGAAAAATCTGATTGAAGCAAATTTGTGAGATGTCCACTGCGTATCGAGGGGCGTCTCTTATTTTATATTTCTCACGTCTCTAGCTATACTTGTTAAGTTGTACCTTATAATATTTTTAATGTCAAATTTCGATTGGCCGCCCCCGCTTTAAGCCCCGGGATCGCGCTGGCAGACATGACTATTTCATAATGACTACACAAAAGGATACTTCACACAAAAAAATAGCCATGTAACGATGATAAAGTTTTATATGTAGCCAGTAGTCATGGCCGGAACAGCGATTTTTTAATAACAGGTACAAGCTGTTCCAGTTGCAAAAGATACCTGTTCCAGTTCCAAACTGTTCCAAAACGAAAATTAATACCGTACTTGCATCATTCTGATTCGGTTGCTATTTTTCTTTTTAAATTTATATAAAAGAAAATTGTTTGCTTAAATAATGAGAACTACTGGAGATTTTTCTGTTTTCTCTAGATTTAATCTACGATCTATGTTGCTATATTTCCAAGATATAATATTTTTTTAACTAAAAATTAAAAAAAAACTATCAAATTTTCGAAAAATATAAATTTTTCAAAAGCATGTTTTCCCGAAAAAAACTCATGAGAATCGAAATATACAACCCCTAAAAATATGTGCACTTATTTAAGACCCACCCTGTATAAGCACTAATGAATAAATATTGATTTATAATTTTGTTATATACTTAAAAAGTAAATTCTTGGAAGAGTTTAATTTTTTTTTAAATCTACTATATTTATAATACAGAACAATAACCGACTGTTCTTACACTGTATTTTTCAAAAAAAAACTATAATGCGATAATTATATTGCATTTGGCAACATCGCCAGCATTTTTTTTATAATAAAACATGTTCCTTACCTATTCTGTTTCTGTTTACATTAAAAAAATAAAATATTTAAAAAAATTATAACAAATTTAAAATTTATAATAAGAATTAAGTTGAATTTTAATTAAATATTTTAAATAACGGCAACAGCCATACTTGTTTTTTACGTCCTTGTATCCCAATAACAGATAACACCTGAACGGTCGCGTCCGCTAGACTTGGCTAGACTAGCGAAACCGATATACGACCTCGATTATCAACTCAAACCAGTTCCTTTTACTTAACTGTTTCAAACAGTTCCAAGTTTCTAACTGTTCCAAGCCCTAAACTGTTCCAGGTCGCAAACTGTTCCAAGTCTCAAACAGTTCCAAGTCCCTAACTGTTCCAAGCGCTAAACTGTTCCAAGCCCTAAACTGTTCCAGGTCGCAAACTGTTCCAAGTCTCAAACTGTTCCAAGTCCCACTGTTCAGGTTGGGACTTGAAACAGTTTAGGGCTTGGAACAGTTTAACGCTTGGAACAGTTAGGGACTTGGAACAGTTTGGGACTTGGAACAGTTAAGTAAAAAGAACTAGTTTCAGTTGAGAAACGAGTTAGTATATCGCTTTAGCGACGCGGTCGCTTGGCGTTATATTATCGAGAGAGTGCGAGTGCACTAATATAGTGCATAGACGTAAAAAAAAGGTGACGGTTTTCGCAGCGTTGCCGATATTTGATATATTTAATTAAAATTCAACTAAATTTTTATTATAAATTTTAAATAGGAAATCAATATTTGAAAATACAGAAAGAAAAGAATATCTAATATTTACTATTTTATATATTTATGTAAAATAGTAAAATACATATATAAAATAAAAACAATTACATTCCTAGATAATAAAAACAAGCGGTTCCTTTGTCGGTATGTATATATATTTTTTAAGCAGAGTTTTTTTAATGGTAACAGAATAGGCGAAGAGAATTTCTTACCATGAAAAAAACGTACTGGCGATGTTGCCAAATGCAATATATTATATAATTATCTAATTTTGAGAAATACACTATTAAGAATCTAATATCACAAATATAGTAGATAACATAATTTAAACAATTCCAAGAATTTATTTCTTTAAGTATTTAATTTAAGTTGCAGTGTTTTGAAACAGCTGGAACAGTTGGAACTGGAACTGGTATAGGATAGCACATAAACCTCTTCCAAGCCAGTTCCAAAACAAACCTGTTTCGAAAATAACAGATCCTGTTCCAAAGCGTCATCACTAGTAGCCAGCTCTCCGTTTAATAGATATTTACGATACAAGTGAGTTAACAGCATCATTAAGATACGCGTGTGAAAGTGGCACGAATGCGTAGCACGAGTTGTGTAACCATACAAGTATCTTAATGGAGTTAATTCGCGTGTATTGTACAATATTTTATCTACGTCTAACTATAAAAACACACAATGAATTTTAAAAATTGTTGTACTTAACTATATACCTATCCTAAAAATCAATTACCTTAATACCTTTGTTCAAATAACAACATGTCAATATGACAGTAAATAATATTGATGTCACTAGTTTAAAAAATGAGCGATTCGGAAAGTATTCCCTCTGACATTGAAGAAGAGGCATTCAGAGCCATTTCTGGATTGCTTCCAGCAAGATCGAAACAGACGTATGAATATATGTACATACTCTAAGTATGAAAAATGGTGGAAATTTTTTTGTGTTACCCATTTTTAATGTAAGTTGTTTTTAAATTATTTTCTAGCATATGCCCCTGTGGCTGGGCTCTTTACCCAGTTTATCAAAGAGATTCCGAAACTCTATGACAGGGTTCTTGCCGCAGGTCTGAACTTGCATTGCAATCAACTGACTATGTGAGAAACATGAAACTTCCTTGTTATAAATTAACAATTTTTATATAATTTATAGAAAATATTTGAATACTCGTATTATATACCAGATTATCGAATATGATCCATTGTTAGATTCCAGTAATATGTCTATAAAGGAATGGAAAAAAATTGCTACAGATATTGAGGTAAGCCATCCACTTTCATTCTCTCTATGTAATATTTTTAGAAGACAAAACGGCAACAAATCAGTTTTAAAAGAACTTAAATCTTCAGTCTTAAGTAATTTTTAAATCAAAATGATTTAAATCTTATACAGGGTGGTCCAAACTGTATTCCGGAAACTTCAGCAGCATTTTCTGCAGATAAAAGTAAGTAAAAAAGTTCTTAAAAGTATGTCCTAAAATGCTTAGTTTCGGAGATACAGGGTGTAGAGGTTTAATTTTTATTTCGATTTTTTGCAAATAATTTCTGAAGTAACAATTAACGTCAATATGGTGGATGAAAATTGGTATCTGAGAGTTTTTTGATATGAGAAATTTTATTTTGATGTCCATATAACTCCTACTTGTAGAGGACGCCACCTACATATTTTTTAACTGGTTTGAAGTTTAATAACTTTTCGTCCGTACCTCTAGAGAACTACCATAGTATAAGGAAACTAGTAGATTTACTCCTTGTCAAATCCTTTGTTCTTTTTCTGCTACTTTATATGACCTTGTTCTCGCCTCCCGTGACCACTGACGTAGCTGTATAGTTGTGGTCTATTAACTAGGCAAAGTATAGTCGTGGCACTCGCCGTAGTTTCACAGATATGTATTTAGAAAAATATGAGTTCCCAATAAAATAAAATAAAATAAATTGATCATCGAGTAAAAACTTGCTTGAAAACAGAATGTTTTCACATTTCGTGTAGGTAACAATTCTTCTGTATCTGAAAATCTTCTGATAGGAAGAAATGCGGAAAATATATATAATGACATATTTTTATATTATTATCTATTTCAGAGATTTTCTACAATTTTTTTTTGATTTAAAACAAGTTTAATTTTCTGTAGATAACTGGATTCTATTTAAAGCACACTGCGGTCTTGCCATTCTATTTCTTATTTACTAAAACTTTGGTTAAAAACATTATATATGAAAAGTGGCAAAAAACTAGAGTGAACATAACTTTATTAATACTTAGCTATGTTTTCTTAATCATGACAAGGACACCAGAATAAATTCCTGTAGAAAAATTTACCTTATCGTATACAGGGTATTTTTTATGGCGTCACCAAAATCGTAATATTTAAAATGTTGTATCTCATTTTTTTTTATATGCAACACCTAGTATATTATTTTTCTTTCAGATGTAGAATTAAAAAGTGAACATTTTTTGTAATTAAAGTGTATTTAAATTTTTTAGGCGTTCTGCAAATATTTTCTGTATTTCATTACATATGGGATTTTCAACGATAAAATATCAGACAAAGATCATATTAGGTGGCTTTGATAAAAATTTACTGTTGAAAGAGCTATATGTAATATAATACTGCGAATATCTGCGAAACCGTTAAAAATTTAGAGAAACACTTTAAATAAAAAAAATGTTCACTTTTTAATTCTGCATCTGACCGAAAAATAATATACAGAATGTTGCATTTAAAAAAATTGAGATATACCATTTTAAATATTCCGATTTTGGTGACGCCATCGCCATAAAAAAATACCCTATATAGAATAATGTATATAGAATGATGTAAAATAATTAAAAAAAATAAAATTAACTTCACCATAACTTTTTTGTGACACCCTGTATATAACAAAATATTTTAGGATACGACCCTTTATAAACCTTGAAACATATGAATAAAACTTTTTTCAAATCTTCAACAAGAACGACGATATTGGACTTCCTCGCAATAATGGGCCACCCTGTATATTTACGGTGGTTTAAAGCTAGGTCTAGCACTTTTCTTCCCTCAAATATAAACTCAATATTTTGTCTATAATATTTTGAATATATTACGACCACTTATAATAAAAAATAAATAAAATAAAAAAACATAAAAAAATACAGTCCACTAAATCTATAATAGATTATGCTATTATAAAAATTCTTTCATTTAAAAAAATATGAATAATTTGCGGATACTTTAGATGTACAAAATATTTACTCTAAAATTGTTTCAAAAACCAATCTATATAAATTATCTCGTAAATTATTATTGGAATGAAAATTTTATGGCAAATCCCCTGACCAAAGAATATTTTCATGCGCATATTTGAGGCAACCTGTATATCTAAAAAACTATTTCTAAGATTTGCCCACATGCTAAAAAAAATAATAACATTTAATTAATTACATAATATCTCAGCTTCTAAAATAAACAAATATAATTAAATGTTTATTGATAATTACTATCAGCTTGCCGATTTACATCCGATGGAAATCTAAAAAAACTCAAAGAACAATTTTTTGAATTATTATTACAATCAGGGTTGCCACAAGAAAATTTTTGATTGTGCAGAACTTGACCACAAAAATGTGTAGCATTGTGTAGCAATCCATGACCATGACCAATAATTGTAAACTATCCAATAAAACCAAGAATAAGACGTAAAATCGCCAATTTTTAAAGCATAATTACGAGTCTCGATAAGAGTCTCACTTCCACTGGTTTGTATACGTCAATATATTCATTTCCCATTTCACTTCTTCTCATGCCAGCAAATATTGCAATGACGTCAAAATTGATGTCATGAAACTAACGATTTTATGGAAAAATTAGACCGGTTAAAGTCTGTTTAAAAACTGTAAACAATTCAGGACTGTTTAATCGGCCAAATTTGTCCATAGAAACTGCAGTCCTTGCTGATATGGGAGGAAAAGTGAAATAGGAATTGAATATTATTCACGTATGCCAACGAGTGGACCGAACTACAGTGAAATTTGGCCTCTGAATTTGGCCAAAGTACATGTTATGTATTATTTAAGGAATTAAGCAATCCTGTCTATTTATCGTTTTTGACTCGACCAATAAATGACCGAAAATGATATTTGTCAGTTCAAAATTTAAAGTTCACTTGCGGCCTCTTTTAATGTAACTTCAAATATAACTTAAATAACTTAGATAACTTAAAAGCAAAAAAAAACAGCTTTTGTCAGCTGATTTACTGTTTTGGTATTATTTTTTATAATAAATATGTAAATTGTCAAAATGTGTAGCACAGGCCATTGTGGTGTAGCTGTGCAGACATGGAAGCAAATGTGTAGCAAAATACACAATTGTGTAGCTTGTGGCAACCCTGATTACAATTAATAGCAGCGCACAGTAAGGCACTCATTTTTTGTCAATCCGTCTCTGTGCTGGGACGCAACGCTCGAACCGCACAGCTCGACGGACGGAATTCAACTGAAACTCTTTGCAAGCTGCTATGGAACTACTGAGTAACAAATATACATTTACGACGTTTTTTTATGTAAAAAGTTCTATTGGTAAAAATCGGTACGACCACCCGTTCACAAGATATTTAGAATGAAAATTGTGAAAACTGAAAATAGTCAATGCATGTCATTATTGACAAAAAATAAACATATTTTGACTAAATAGTTATTAGACTGAAATACATTTGACATGTTTTTTTGCCAAAAATTCAACAAAAACTGTTTTATCATCATTTTTTGAAGAGAATTTTAAAAGAAGTTTAATTAAAAAAAAATACAAGTTCTCAAATTTATCATTTCAGTCAAATAACTATCTACTCAACATGTTTATTCTTTGTCAATAATGACATTTATTGACTATTTTTATTCCAAACATCTTCTCTCAAACGGGTGCTCGTAGCGATTTTTACCAAGAAACCTTTTTTAATTAAAAAACGTCGCAAATGTATATTTTTTCTTCACTCAGTAGTTTTGTCGAGAGTTTTGTACAGGCACGGACGAAAGGTTATTACTTTTCAAACCAGTTAAAAAATATGAAGGTGGCGCCCTCTACAAGTAGGGTACAAGTATATAATCCCCGTTTTGTTCGAAAACACCCAGGCACCAATTTCTATTCAAATATGGACGTGAGTTCAGAAATTACTTGAAAAAAACGGAATAAAAATTATATTTCTACACCCTGTATCTCCAAAACGAAGCATTTTAGGACATTACTTTATAGGAACTTTTTTATTTATTTTTATCTGCAGAATATGTTGCCGAAATTTCCCGATTATAAATCGAACCACTCTGTATATTAATTTTATTTATAATATACTCACCGGCAAAAAAAACCGGCCACTAAAAACTAGTCCCAATTTCAAAGTTGGATTTCTCGCGAACCACTCATTAGATTTTGATGATTTTTTTTAATTGTAAATTAATTCCTTCTTGACGGATGCTACGTCAGCAATTTTTATTCCGAATTTATTTTGAGCATATACAGGGCACAACAATAAGACGAAGTTTTTTCCTAAACTTTGTAACACCCTGTAGGGTGCAACAGCTGTAGTAGCTATTGCTAAATCAAATCACATTGTACCCTGATCTTTTGTGAGCATTTTATTTTTTTTAATCACGACATTATCTCTGTTTGTATTGGAGATACGCTGCTTTAAAACAAACGCCTAGAAAAAGTCTTTAAAAACAAATCAAACATCGGAACGTAGGTAAGTTTAACCTGAAACTAACTAAAACATGAAAATTAAAAAAAAGGTAAAGAAATTTTAAGGGACTAATATCTAGTGTCCACTCGCCTGGTGAAATTTTCCGTTTCCATATACCGATTCCAGGCATCCTGGATCCTGGACTGTTGTTCGGAATATACCCAGGGTATCGGAGACATAACGTTGACTTCGGCCATCCTGAATTAAAGCCACAATACGAGTAACATCCGTTACAGATAATGGCATTTTTTAATTTAACAACCGTTTTTGTCATATTGCAAATACTCATAGATGCGTTTTCGCCTATGTCGCCTTGATTATTTACACATAAAACTTTTTGCCTGCGAAGCATTTTTCCGAGATGTTCGTTTTAAAACAGCATATCTCCAATACAAAAAGAGATAATGTGGTGATTAAAAAAACAAAGTGCTGACGAAAGATGAGGCTACAATGTGATTTAATTTAGCAATAGCTACTACCGCTGCTGCACCCTACAGGGTGTTACAAAGTTCGGGCAAAAACTTCGTCTTATTGTTGTGCCCTGTATATGCTCAAAATATATTCGGAATAAAAGTTTCTTAAGTAGCGTCCGTTAAAAAGGAATTAATTTACAATTTAAAACACGTGTGTTAAGTTAGCACAACCACTTTAAAAAAAATGTATGAAACTATGTGGAATAATTGCCGTAAATTAGCCGTAAATTTGCCGTGAAAACGAAAAATTTGCCGCTCTTCGCTAAGTATGTTAAATCGATGGTTGTGCTAAGTTAATATTAAGTTAGCACAACCACCATTGGAAATCAGTGAAAGAACATAGTTAGGAATTTTATAGTATAGCAGGAATTTGCCGTTTTTTTGCCGTTCTTAGATACAATTAAAAAAAATATCCTCCGATCATTCCCTATCCCCCTGCAACAAAAAATGTAATAGCGTCAAGGTCACATAATAAGTTAGCACAACCATTCCAGTAAACGTTAAGTAAAATGTCTGAAATTAGGTGGAACAATTGCCGTAAATTAGCCGTAAATACACCATGCAAACGAAAAATTTGCCTCTATTATTTGTTTACAAAATCGATAATTAACGTAAACAATAACGTTAAATTAGCGCGATTTTTCTTAAAATTCACTAAATAGGATCAATAATAACTTTTTAGTACAAAAGAAATATGCCGTAAATAAGCCGTGAAATCGAAAAATTTGCCACTCTTTTATTTCTTTATAAAATCTACAGAGTGATTCAGGCTTCCGAAAAAGCTCTCTGTTAGGTTTCTGGTTTGTGAATTTCATTTCATTTATTTATATAATATGGGGGCAATGGTAACGCATATTTTGAAAATATTTTTGTCAGCATACAGGGCGATTCAAACATATTTTCAAACTAAAGTTGTATATTTTTAAATGGGATACTGTATATTTTTTTAGCTCAGTGAATGTGCCACTAAATTTCTGTTTCAAAATACCCCAATTTCATATACTATGCCTAATGGTTTTTGAAATATAACCGTTTTTAAACTAAATTTATTGCTTATTTAAAGTTCTCTGAAAATTCTAAATTCGAAGAATTTAAAAAAAATTAACAGGAAGTACTGAATAATAGTGTCTTCTTCAAAATTCGGTCTTCCAGAATTTGCAATCTTGTTTGATATATACAAGGTGAGTCAAAATTAAATGTTGTATTTTCATCTACTATTTTAAATGGAACACCCTGTATTTTGTGTCATAATCGAAATAAAAGAGCGGCAAATTTTGTTATTTCACGGCTTGTTTACGGCATATTCCTGTTGTACTATAAAATCATTATTGATACCATTTAGTGAATTTTAAGAAAAATCGCGCTAATTTAACTTTATCGATTACGTTAATTAAAAAAAATATCGATTTTATAAACAAATAATAGAGCGGCAAATTTTTCGATAGCATGGTGTATTTACGGCTAATTTACGGCAATTGTTCCACCTAATTTCAGGCATTTTACTTAACGTTTACTGGAATGGTTGTGCTAACTTAATATATGACCTTGACGCTATTACATTTTTTGTTTTGTTGCTGGGGGTATAAAAAATTTTCTTATTGAATATCGATTTTCGGCATTAATAAAACAAAAAGATTAAACAACACCTTGTTCGATTATGATACAAAATACAGGGTGTTTGTTCCATTTAAAATAGTAGATAAAAATACAAAATTTAGTTTTGACTCGCTCTGTATATATCAAACAAGATTACAAATTTTGGTAGACCGAATTTTGAAGAAGACATTATTATACAGTACTTTTTTAAAATATACTAACAATATATTTTTAAAAAAAAATACAAACTTTTTTAAAATTCTTCGAATTTATAATTTTCAGACGGCTTTAAATAAGCAGTAAATTTATTTTAAAAACGATTATATTTCAAAAACCATTAGGTATAGTATATGAAATTGGGGTATTTTGAAACAGAAATTTAGTGGCAAATCCACTGAGCTAAAAAATATATATATATATAGCATTCCATTTAAAATTATACAACTTTGGTTTGAAAATATGTTTGAATCACCCTGTATGCTGACAAAAATATTTTCAAAATGGGCGTTACCATTGCCCCCATATCATATAAAAAAATGAAATGAAATTCACAAACCAAAAACCTAACATAGAGCTTTTTCGGAAGCCTGAATCACCCTGTAGATTTTATAAAGAAATAATAGAGCGGCAAATTTATCGATTTCACGGCTTATTTACGGCATATTCCTTTTGTACTAAAAAGTTATTATTGATCCCATTTAGTGAATTTTAAGAAAAATCGCACTAATTTAACGTTATTGTTTACGTTAATTATCGATTTTGTAAACAAATAATACAGCGGCAAATTTTTCGTTTGCATAGTGTATTTACGGCTAATTTACGGCAATTGTTCCATCTAATTTCAGACATTTTACTTAACGTTTACTGGAATGGTTGTGCTAACTTATTATGTGACCTTGACGCTATTACATTTTTTGTTGCAGGGGGATAGGGAATGATCGGAGGATATTTTTTTTAATTGTATCTAAGAACGGCAAAAAAACGGCAAATTCCTGCTATACTATAAAATTCCTAACTATGTTCTTTCACTGATTTCCAATGGTGGTTGTGCTAACTTAATATTAACTTAGCACAACCTCGATTTAACATATCGATTTAACATACTTAGCGAAGAGCGGTAAATTTTTCGTTTTCACGGCAAATTTACGGCTAATTTACGGCAGTTATTCCACATAGTTTTATACATTTTTTTTAAAGTGGTTGTGCTAACTTAACACACGTATTTAAAACAAAATCGTCAAAATCTAATGAGTGGTTTGCGAGAAATCTAACTTTGAAATTGGGTCGAGTTTTTAGTGGCCGGTTTTTTTTGACGGTGAGTTTATATTGTATTTTAGAAGTGTTACTGCTATTTTGATGGATTTGTTGTATTGCATGGAACAGACACCATGGCTTTCACTTCATCGATATTATCCTTTATGATAGAAGGATTAAATAAGCCAATTATTATTACAGGAGCTCAGGTAACTTAAACGAATGTAATATATCTTAGTTTAAAAAGTTAAATATTTAAAGATTGGGTATTTTATTATTGTACAGGATGTCCCACTAAGAATAGCTCTCGGCTGTATTTCGGAAAGTATTAGCCGTAGGGCTTACGGAAAAAAAATATTTGTAACAAAAAAGGTTATGAGAAATTGCTGGAAATTATTTTCAAGTTTGTAGAACGGCCGCTAGAGGGCGCAACTGATATAGAAAATAAGAAAATAGAATTTTTACAAAATTTTGCCTAGATAATGGGTACTATAAAATAGCTTCATAATCTTCAGTAAATTTTGGATTTTTTTTGTTAGAACCATTAAAATAAAGTGGTGGGGGAAAGTTAGATCTATCTTTATTTATATGTTAATTACTCCGGACTCTCTGGATGATCAGAATCCAATAAACGAGAGCTCGTTTAAAAGAGCAATTCTTACTCTATATTATACCATAATAATAATAATTAGGTTTTGAACGTAGACGCTAGGGGGGCCTTTTTACAATTTAACAAATACAGCGCGTTTTTTTGCAAAGATATCAAGATGCGGTTTACGCTGACTTTTTAAGCTTTTACTACTCTTTGCTATCAGCTAAAATTACATATACCATCGTATTTTTTTTTAAACGCGCTTTGTTAAATTGTAAGAAAGCGCCCCCTAGCGTATACGTTCAAAACCTTATCATTATTATTTTTATGGTATAATATAGAGTAAGGAACGCTCTTTTAAACGAGCCCTCGTTTGTTGGATTCTGATCATCCAGAGTCCGGAGTTATTAACATTTAAATAAAGATAGATCCCACCACTTTATTTTAGCAGATAGGGGAAAATGACTCTAACAAAAAAAATCCAAAATTTGCTGAAGATGATGAAGCGATTATTTATAGTACCCATTATCTAGGCAAAATTCTGTAAAAATTCTATTTTCTTATTTTCCATAGCAGTTCTCTATAGCGGCCGTTTTACAAACTTGAAAATAATTTCCAGCAATTTCTCGTAGCCCCTTTAGTTATAAATATTTTTTTTCCGTAGGCCCTACGGCTAATACTTTCCAAGATAGAGCCAAGAGCTATTCTGTGTGGGACACCCTGTACTATAGAATCTTAACAAAAAATACAATTAATTGTATACCTCGCGTAGTAGCCTCGGTGTTTCGAAACATCTCCGTTTCAAGTTTTTTACTTGAAATCTTCCCTTCAATTATTTTCTAAAACATGCGATACATGGTAGTGCATATTTAAAATGTATTTTAATAAATATACAATGTAATCCAAATATATTTATTCACAAGTCGATTTTTCTGAAATAGAATGCAGATTTTTTTCTTCCTGAGTAGATTAGGAATAAAATGTATGTCTTCAAAATACTATACTGTCAATCTAAACTGATAGATTTTCAGATTGATGTAGATTTTTACCATTTTGAAATTAAATTTTCCACTCATTTAAAGTTGCCTAAAGAAATTAAAACTGCTAATGAATTACCTACATTCTAAATTTGTGAAAATATTTAAACGATCAAACGAACTTACCTGACGTTCGATCGTAATTATTTGATGAATCTGGTCCCAGGACATCAGTTGATTATTTACTATGTAGTCCGCCCCTGGCGTGTGTGCTCACACATGTTTAAAGTATTTTCTCCTGTCGCTCCTTTCCTCCGCGATCCGTCTTCATATTGTTTAAATGATGCGTGAAAAATCGCAACTAAAAGGGGTCAGCCAAAAAATGGCGTTGGGTAATGGGTGGGAACTGATGTCCTGGGACCAGATTCATCAAATAATTACGATCGAACTTCAGGTAAAGTTCGTTTGATCGTTTAATTATTTTTCAGAATCTGGTCCCAGGACATCAGTTGATTATTTACTATGTAGTTGTTTAAAGTTGTTGCGATTTTCTCTATTTTTAATTAGGATTTTGTTCTAATTATTAAAATAAAACACCGCAGGCTAAAAGAACGTAAAGAAATATATTTTCTTAACTAGGACCTACTTCAATATAAAAGTGCAAATATACTAAACGGTTAGGTATCGAGTGGCCCTAGATTTTTAACAATAATAAGCAGAAGTTAACATTTGGTAACTGAACATAAAACTTCTAAATCCTAATAAGTACAGAAGTACATAACAAAAAACGAAACGAATCTTAATCTAGTCTGTTAATCTTAAGATTGCTTTGGCAAAATCAGTCTTCTTGGTTAATGGTCGGTTATAGTGCCTAGCAAATGTTGCGGTTTTTTCAGACCACCCAGCAGTACGACAAATTAGCTCTAGAGAAACCCCTGCTCTAAAAGCCGCTGAATTCGATGCATGACGAGTAGAATGTGGTTGAAATTGACTTGTGTCAATTCCTGAAGCTTTTAGCGCCTCTTTAACCCACCGACTTAGGGTTTGCTTGGATGCTTTTTGGTGAGGTTTTGTAGAAGTAATGAAGAGAAAATCTTGATTTTCCCGAAGAGGCTTAGTTATTTCTACATAACTTAACAATGCCGAAGCCGCACAAAGAAACGAATTTTCCTTAAAAAATGGAATGTGTAGGCAAGGCTGTGTTTTAAGAGTACCAGACGTCTTAATCTGGTCCGAGATAAAAATTTGGATTTTTTCCTCGTCGATAATAATGTTTGAAAGTCTAATTAGCGAAATTGTTTGGAGACGTCCACCAGTCACAAGGGCCAAAAGACTAACCAGCTTTATCGATAAGAGTTTTAGGTTTTGTGTGGATATACCGCTTAGATAATTCAGCAAAGGTTTGGGATCCCAAGTGGAATCATACTTGGGTCTAGCCGGCCTTAATCGAGAGGCCCCTTTAAGAAATCGCTTCAAATTAGTGTCCGATGCTATATTGTTTGTGAGAATCAGAGAGAGGGCTGACCGGTGGGAATTAAATGTACCATATTTAAAAGGGTGATTATCAAGAAGTTCTTGTAACTTCGCTAGGAACAGCCTCGAAAACAGAAACATTTCTTTTGTGGCAAAAATCCCACCATAATTTATAGGATGTGTTATACTGCCTCATTGTGGCCTCCGAAATTGAGAATAATGCCGTTTCCACTGCTGATTAGGGAACCCCCTTTTTTACAAGTGCCGTGCTGACAATCTGCCGGCAACCAGGGTAAGCTGCCTCCGGAGTAGATGCTCTTTCCTAAAAGACACGACAAAAGATTATCACTGGGATTGAAAGTGATTATATCACCTATTAATAGTTTTTTAAACAACGGGTACCAAGGCTGTACTGTCCAGTATGGTACTACCACGATACTCTCTGCCTTGTCTTGGATAATCTTCTGAAGCGTGCGTAGGATTAACGAAAAAGGTGGAAATGCATAAAAAGACCACCGGTTCCAGTTCACGGTAAAAGCGTCAACTGCTATGTATCCTGGATCTTTCTTCCAAGACACATAGTTTGCACATTTATTATTAATTCCAGAGGGGAAAAGATCTACCTCTGGTTTTCCCAGAGTATTTACGATACACTCAAATACCTCTCCTGATAGCTCCCACTCTGTTTCCATAGCAGTTCTCCGTGATTCAGATTCTGCTTCACAATTTTCCTCTGAAGATATATACGATGCAAGAAGCCAAATGTTCCATTCTTCACACCACGACCATATTTTTCTGGCTAATTTGCTTAAGTTCGGATACTGAACGCTGCCCATGCGATTAATGTATGATACGGCGGTTGTATTGTCTGCCCGTACTAAAATGTTACAGTTCGATAGATCCTGCGCAAAGCATTTTAGTCCGAAAAATATGGCCTGAAGCTCTAAATAATTAATGTGATGTTTTTTATCCCGCTCTGACCAGAATCCGTGAGTCCGATCTGTTCCATAGCAGGCGCCCCATCAAGTTGTGCTTGCATCGGTATATATTTCAATAGGAAAAGTGTCATGCCTAATATCGTTGTAGATTGTCAAAATGCTATTATCCCACCAATACAGGTCGTAAGATAAAGTAGCGTGTGGGACCGACATGATGACATTATAATTACCATGATTTTGTAGCAGAGCCAGAAATTTTTCCCTCTCAAACTGTTTGACATACAGCCAACCATATTTTACTGCAGGGCATGCCGAGGTTAAAACTTCAATGAACTTAGCAAATTCCCTGATTTTACATTGTTTTTTGCATGTAAAAACCTGAATTAACGATTTTATTTTTAATCTTTTTCCATTGGAAGTTCCGACCTTAAAGTCTGGCTGTTAAAATAAAACCTAAAAACTTCTGGCTCGTACTTGGTGTTAGCCTGCATTTTTTATAGTTAATTAAGAAACCCAAACTCTGTAGAAGCTGAACTGTAAATACAGTGTTCTTTTGACAATCATCAAAAGTATCGGCTATAATTAAAAAATCGTCAAGATAATTGACACAACAAATTCCACATGTTCTCTAAGAATCTTAATTACCGGTTTTAAAAGCTTTGTGAAATAGAACGGCAAACCAAATGGCAAACAACCAAATTCAAACAACTCTCCCTCAAAACTAAATCTTAAATATTTTCAATGTCGTTCTATAGAAATTAAGAAATAAGCGTCTTTTATATCTATTGTAGTCATAAAGCTATTACTAGAAATCATTTTTTTTTTGGCTGTGCGATAGTCTTCCATCTTAAAGTTAGGAGGTGTTATAAATTGATTTAGTTGTTTTAGGTTTAATATAAACCGTTTTTCACCATTAGATTTATTGGTAAGAAAAATACCAGATAAAAATTGGATTGGCTGGGGCTGGTATTTAATGACTGCACCCTTACTAAGCAATTCTTCAATTGCCATAGCCATTTGGCTTCGTTCCTCTGAAGAAAGATGCCTTGATTTCGGAGACAAAAACTGTGAGGGAGTACATTTAAATGGAATGACATAACCACTTATGCAAGACAAGAAAAATGGGTTTTGGGTGATATTTTGCCATTGTTTATAAAATAACTTTAGCCTCTGAAATCAGCGCTTCTGATGAGGGTATTGACTCCTTCGTGTCGGGGCATGCCCTTTGTGTGGTCTCGTTTCCCGCTTGGACGGACCGGACGCCCCCGGTTTAAAGGACCGGATGAGCCACCTCGGCTGGTGTATGGTCTGGATGTCTGTGATCGGCCGGTAGCCACCCCTCCCCCTTTTTTAGAAGCGGAAAAGGTAGAACTCTGCGTTTGGGGACGAAGGTCATTGGCTGTTCTTTCCAATGTTTTAGCTTCCTTGACCTTTTCAGCTAATTCGTTCCCAAACAAGTACACCCCTGGAACCCTAGTCTCTACTACATCCTTTAGTGATTTGCTTAACATGGGTAAAATTAAGGTACGTCTAGTCTGAGAAATGTCAAAAAAATAAATTTGAAAAAATTTGTCCAGCTTCCGTAAGGAATGGCAAAATCTTTTCACGCATAGTTGGCGAAATAAACTGACCCTCTTCCAAAACCGCATTAAGACCTTTGCCCAATAAAGACAGGCCCCTGCCCAGCTGGTCTTGAAAATCAGCATGACATGAATCCCTTTTTATATAAGCCGCCGAAAGACAAGGTAAAATTTCCTTGTCGACCAAGGGAGGTATCAAGGCCTTACAGTTTTCTGGGACGCAGCTAGTATTCATCAATTGTTCCTTTTTGACCACCTAGCTGTAAGGGCCTGGTGCAAAGTGTACCCATTAGCCTTAGTTTTATCCGGATCCTCACCGAGTAGGTCTAACTTCAGTCGGCAAGGAGACGTCGTTATGAATAATTAACGGAAGGGTGCCAGCCGTTTGATCGTTTAAATTATTCTTATCATTCAGAATGTTTGTCGCGCCGCACGGACCGCGATCCACATCCATTGCATTGGTAGCCACGCCGTACAGACTATGGTCTACGCTAGGCAATCGCCGCCTATCTGGTGTACCATAATAAGACGCCGAGCCGCGCGGACTGCGATCGTCATAACCAGAACCAGACCGTCGATGATGACGACTGCTTGACCTTGAATCCACCGAGGGTGTTGGCTATTGGGCCAGTACGGCCCACGCGCCCGCTGAACGAGCGCGCGCGACCGGATGACTGAGAGGGGGAACGCCGCTGACGCCGTGGCGATCGCGACCTCGCTCGTGATGTTGCCCTCTCTTTCTCAAGTCTCTCTAGCCTTCTCAAACGCTCCTTTCGTGAAACATGGCGTTCTCGAGAAGAAGACCGGCTTTTTCCCTTTGTTTTCCCCATAATATCTAGCTAAAGAGAAAAGAGAAAAGCGTTGATGGAGGATGATAATCTCGATCAACGACAAGGTAACAAGCTTGTATTGTAAGATTATAGAAATAATTACTTACTGTTTTAATTTCGGCGTTCGTAAACAAGCGTAAAAAGCGACACTTCCGCACTGCACATGCACACAGAAACGAATGAAGACGGATCGCGGAGGAAAGGAGCGACAGGAGAAAATACTTTAAATATGTGTGAGCACACGCGCCAGGGGCGGACTACATAGTAAATAATCAACTGATGTCCTGGGACCAGATTCTGAAAAATAATTCAAAATGCACGGTAAAAAAAGAGATGTATAAAAGAAAAGTGAAAGTCGGAAATTCAGTGATTATTAACATTCACTAGGAAATGCTAGCAATTACGCATGGACCAGTGAATTTGGTATTTTAAAGAGATTTGTCGACTTTCACTAGTAATTTCTAACATTCACTAGTGAAAGTAACATTTACTAAAGGCTGTCAGTAAAAGTTATTCTATTGCATAGGGCGAGTGTGGTGAAAAGAATGTTGGTTGCAGTTAGAACAAATAAAACTTTTAAGAATATAAAAGCTGATCCTTGAATATAAAAGCTGATCGACATATCTTAAAATTACCATTTATTTCTTTAGTATATTTATTAAAAATTATACATACGAACTGAAAATGTGAAAATAACGACATATTATTAAAACGTTCTAAATCTTAAATGGGAAAACATAGTAAACATTTTAAAGTGTACAAAACAATTAAAAAAACATTCACTAACATAAGATTACTTATTGGTACAAGGCTTTTTTAATAAAGTTTATCATCGTGGACAAAATAAAGTATGCCCAAATTTTCTTCAATGGGAGTTATTCGTTTTTTCAAATCCGCTACTTCAGGCATATCAAAATATTCAATAAATTCATAGTCACGAGGTTCCTTAATATTTTTTTCTCTTGCATGCTTAACTTTTGCTGTGACTTCATTATATTGCAAAAATGAAAAACAAACACTACATTCTTGCGAGTGTCTATATAGTTTACCTTAAATTTTCACAGAAAATTTCTTCCAAAGGGAAAATATGCACAGCACTTTTTACAACAATAACAAAACAATATTATACATAACCACAAAAAAACAAAGCGAATTTACGAGATGTTTGTCAACGTTGCCAACGTTTAGCTCAATTTAATGTTATCCTTATATTGCCTATTATTCAACTTATCCTTATTTATCTTTATATTTTACAACATGTGGAAACAGCGCTAACTGAATCTTTCAAACTCACTGCTATCGTCGAAGGAATCACTAGTAAAAGTTGGTTTCAAAAATAGCTGTTGAATCTTTATTGGCGTAGTATTAGCAAATCAGTGAATGTGAGCTTTTACTAGTAATTGTTAACAATCACTGATTTCCAACTTTTACTGTAACATATACATCTCAAATGGGAAACCTATATATGGAGCATTTTCGGGACATTTTATCATCCTGTTTACATACCCAAGTAGCATTTTCACGACTTGCGACCACATGTTTACTAAACACAACGTTGGATTAGCTACAAAAAATAGTTAGCTCCGTACCTTGGGTATTAAAATAAATATAAACGTTGTTGTAACGTTGTGCCGACGATGAACTAGTAACTACAACAAAGTAAAAGCTTGTGCGACGTCGAATAAACGTTGTCTTGTAACATTTTTTGCTTAAGTGATCTTTAAGTGATTCGGACAACGTAGTTACAATGTTGGGCAATAAAGAGTTTTCCGACGTCACTTTCAGGACCTATTCCAACGTTATGCAAACGTCGTCTGTTTTACTAATTCCAACGTTGTTTAGATTTCCTTATTTTTAGGTTGGTTGGTAGGATGTCGAGGCACTACCTTTTTGCAACTCTATTGAGCCATAACCTTAAATATTAAATTTTCACTTCATTGTTCTGTTCAGTCAGACAGTTCAGTGCTGTTTTTGTTTTTATAAAAAAAAAACTTAATTAAAATGGGACGTAAGAAAGGCACATATAAAACTAAATTTAAATATACATCATATCACATATACCCGATACTTTATTCACTCCCTCGTTTATTTAGAATATAGAATGCGGCACAAGCTAGACTCTAGGATGACTAAATTAGGCAATCTTGCGACTAGTATACTACCTGTTAAAGCTGAACACCGACTTTATTAGTCCAGTATGCGACTACTCGAACTACTCCATCTTAATCTCCCAAACAACAAAGTGACAGCCGCCATGTTGTTGAATAAGAAAATGTTTCGTTCCTAAAATAGCAATTCCTCCTTTTTGAATACATTAACTTGAAATATTTGACCCTAAACAACAAGCGGAAACAATTGTTTTTCGACTGCGAATAAATTATTCTCATTTTACTAAAAAAATTCAAGAAATTTTTTAAAACTTCTTTAATTTTAAGACCCATTACAATTTTTCAAAGTAGAAACAATACATTTTTTAATAAAGTTGTTTGCGTTTAACTTTTTTGCCTTGGGTAACGAGTTAGAGAGTTGGTTAAAGTGTTTCAATAATTATGATCTTGAACATCCTCCACACTTAAATACTTTTGTTTTGTTTTTCTTTACTGTCATCTGGCCATATGTCTCTAACTAAATCATAAAAATAATATTTTCACTATAATTATCCCAGTTTAGGATAAAACGCGACTTAGACGCCATATTATTATAGTTTTGTATTTCTGTGAATAAGGATTTTAAACAACGTTGCAGTTTGTACTAAATTAGGCTCTTAGCCAACGTAGGTATCCAACGTCGTTTCGACCCAAAAATTATTCCCCAAACTAGTGCAGACGAGGGTTGGCACGAGATTGTGCCGACTTTGCGCCCAGACGTTTGGTCGCGTGACACAACGTTGTCCCGACGTCCAAATGCTGCTTGGGTACTTTTTAGAAGTAAATTTTAATAGGAATACCTAAGTCATGCATCTAGATATTCCTCTTTATCTTCTTTTAAAATTGTAATCATTCATACCCAATGCGTATTCTCTGATTTAATTACATTTTATTACTTTACAGCGACCTATCTTCGAAGACGGTACAGATGGAATTAGTAATTTCTATTATTCCTTAATTTTTGCTGCAGCGTACAATATATCTGACGTATGCGTCTTCTTCGACAAAGTTTTGTTGAAGGGAAACCGTTGCAAGAAAATCGACTGCTCAGGTTTTGATGCGTTTGATTCTCCTAATTATCCTCATCTAGCTGAAATAACTTTTAATAATAACAACAATAATGTTACCATTAATTGTAAGTATTTTTAATCCTTTGGAGACTTTCAAATAATTTGAATCGTTTTATGTTATACGACCATATAGGGTACTGCAACATTGCGTCAGGCATCTGTAGCTTCTATAAAATATGGCAACCTCGGCCCGCTCGTCGGGTCGAGTCGGCAGAAAACCCTCTAAGTGCATGCGTTCTCAATAGGCAGTGTTATCATTCTATTCCCCTATAAGTAACTGTCCAGTTAACAATCTGTATACTTTAAGTTTGCACTTCCAGCACTTAGCTATAAATTCCTGACGCACTGTTGCTAAGCTAATTAACAAGCTTTCATATATTTTTTTTGTTAAGTTTTATAGCATATTTTTCTACAATTTTTAGTTACGAGTATAAAGGAACAATATTTTTTGGTTTATTTATTTTTGAGTTTATGAATGATGTTCCATATTATATAGAGATTTATCATCAATCCCGTTTTGACAGATATTCTTTTTCTTTTCCTGAAAGCCTATATACGGTTAATCGCTAATCACCCTTATAACTTTTTTATTTTTTTAGATAAAAAAAAAACGAAATTTGGTACGTTTGTATATGACATAGATTAGGATTGTTTGACGTATTGAGTTTTCGGCCACTTCTTGTTTCACTGGAAATAACTACAACTTTTTATTTTTAAATAACACCAGCGCTATTTTTTTTACTTTATTTCATAGAAAATGACACTCTGAATAGAATAACATATCATATGTCAGCTTTTGACATTTTCGCATATGATTTATTTGAAATTGTAGCATACGGTTTATAACGACAATTTGACTCGAAATACCAAGTATGTGATACCAAATTGTTTGTAAAAAATGCATAAAAATACTGAGAGAGCATGCTGTTTAAAAATTGAAAGTTACAGTCATTTCCGGTGAAACAGGAAGTGACCAAAAACAATTGAAAACGTCAATCAATCCTAATTTATGTCATAAACTAACATATCAAATCTCGTTTTTTTTAAATAAAAACGTTAGAGGGGTGGGTCGCTTTTGAGACGCACCCGGTATTGTTTCTTATAGTATATACTTTTATTTATATTTTTTAACTTGTTTATTTTTGAAGGTAATTATCCATTATTAAATAGAAGGAAAATCAGTAAATTATCATTTAAATATGATCTAGTTGCCGATGTCGGCATATTATACTGTTATCCGACCATTAGAGCTAGCGATGTAAGTATTTTTTTTTAACTGTTATAAATCATAAAAAACAAAAACATATTTTTTTCAACCCTGCTAGCAACTGCATATATTATCCAAAAAAGTAATTAAAGTAAATCTAAAATATAATAACTGAAATACTGCTTGTTGAGTAATTGAATTAGCCATACGATCTAAAAAAACGGTGTCAAAGACAGCTGGGAAATAACAATGGATAATAATTTCGGCAAGGTCAAGCCCTAGACGGCATTACTGGATCCCGACTCTTAATTTTTTAATGGCCAGTTGGCCTTAAGAAGGTTGTAATTTATTTTTATATTGAGTAAAAGTGATTTTTATATGCTGTAGTTTAAAATTCGAGGAAATATATCTTCTTTGGAGTTTAGACCGAGTTGCTTGAGACTTAAGATGTTTGTTGAATGTGTGTGGAGTGATCCCGGTAGTAGAAATGATAAAAAGAATAACGACTACTTTTCTCTGCTTCCAAAGTCTTAGTATTTCTGTAGCTAAATCTGTGTACTTTTCAATTTTTTCATTATATTTCGTTTGAATATAGGATATTTCTTATCTTTATTTTTTATTATTATAATTAGTGTTAATTTTTGTTACAAGTTTTATGTCAATTTAAAGTAAATGACGTCGTCTAAAGAATAACAGCCAAAATTATAATCGATTACCATTCCCTGTCTTTGACGCCGTTTTTTTTCGATCATGCGGTACTACTTGATGAATAAATGAGTTGTATTAACCAAGTATCACGTATTATCTTGAATATATTAATTCATCATAAATAATTATTTAGATATTAGTATTTTATAAATAATTATTAATAACTTTAAAGGTGCATGCATTTTTGGAAAACCTTCACGGAGCAGTTATTCTCACATTCGGAGCTGGAAATGCCCCTTTAAATGATCACAATATGGTAAACACTTTGAAACAGGAAATAGACACTGGATTGGTCATTATCAATGTTTCCCAGTGTCTAAAGGGGACAGTCACCTCGAATTACGAAGTAGGATGTGTGAGTATAGCTGTTCATTGTTTTATTACTTTTGTCATCTAGTACATTACACACATGGCTTATTTTCGATTGTTTCTTTGTTCCATTGAAGTAAAATACACTTTAAAATTATGATATTGTTAACATAGGTTCAAGTATTAAAATAATTTTGAATACAATCAATTTATGATGATTTGATACCGTATGATCGAAAAAAAAACCGCGTCGCAGACAGCTGGAAATGACAATTGATGATCATTTTGGCTAGGTCAATCTCTAGACGTCATTGACATAAAACTTCTCAAAAACTAACAATAAATATAGAAAAATTAAAAAAGGATAGAACCGTTGCTTGAAAGAATTGGAAAGATACTCAACCTAATGGACGAATTCGTGACAAGGTTGATTTGATTTCCCCTTACGTCTCAACTGCTGTACGGTGGAGACACCAATCGTTCTACGGCCAACGCATAAAACACTTATTTTCTCTAATTCGGTCAGCGAAGACATATCGAAGACGGTGCGGAACAGAAGGCGACAGAGTTGCCATATTAAAATGCATACTATCTGTAATACGTTAGACGAAAATATCTTTGGTTGAAAAATCCGCGTTTATGTATTGAACATTTATTCGTGTTAAACATAGAATAAACAACAAAAATATTTTTTATATCACATTCATATCTGAAGACATCGGTGGCCACCACAGTTTTCCTTATACCCTCTTCCTCACAAAATTCGCGAACCGCTAAAGTGGTGGGGATGAGCATTATGGTACATGTAAACAAATTCATCCCCCAGGGGCTAAATTCCTTTCCGTATATTTTTAAACGATATATGCAATAATTTTATAAATCCGTTAATCTACTGATTTATCAGTAGTTCTGGCAACACTGTCTCCGGAAACTACTCATTCTGTCGATTGAAATCAGAACTACGATACAGTATTCTTTATCCGCTGCGCTGTAAACGACGCTGTGTAACGAACTGTTTATCAACGCGCAGCGGTGCAGAACTAAATTAAATCTCGGACAAGCTGACGGTAACGCCAGCTACATCTGAGACAGGTTTTGTGCCGCGAAATCGATCATAAGGTTGCATATCTTCTTATTTCTTCAATCAACGTAAATAGGTAGAAATGAAAAGACTCAGACACTGCACGCGTCTCACTTTGTAATTTGTACCAACCTAGTTTTAGGAGTTAATTTAGGATAAGCTTGAGAATTATTTAAAAAATCAGTATGATTTATTCATTCTGTATTGATTATACTATCGACATGATTGACATTATTATTGTTTGTTTCTAGGTCTTAAATGAAATCGGTATTATTTCTGGTAATGACATCACCGTTGAAGCTGCATACGCTAAGTTAGTGGTGCTCCTAAATTACTTAAATAAAGCCGAATTGGAAGCTGACGTAAATGGTGAAATGACAGTTAATTGACAGCCTATTGACTCCTTTTCTAGAAAGAAAATACAAATTTATTTATATATGTTATCGGAATAAAACAAAAAATAATAAATTATTCGTTTTTACTATAGTTTTAGATTTTAATTTTGTTGATTTCCAGTTATTTATTACTTTTTAATTATTTATTTACAATTATTTTTTAATTACTAAGACTATATATTTGTTATATTTTGAGTATTTTTAAATACAGGGTGTCCCACAATTAGTGCGACAAACTAAAAGGGGTTGTAGAGGGCATCAAAACAAGTCATTTAAATATAGGAACCCATGTCCGGAAATGTGCCGTTTTGGCAGGAGGTGGAGTGAAACGTAAATTTCAAGTTGCATTATTAAAAGTTATACAGGGTGAGACAAAATTAATATGAAACATTAGTCACTTTTAAAAGCAAATTACTCCTTTATTTTAAATGGAACACCCAGTATATTATTCTGGTGTTCAATGGGAAATTTATATATCAACTAATAGAATCATATCAATTCTCTCTGATTTCTCTTTGAAATTTCTGAGAAATATTTTTGCTTTAACTGACACAGAATCGTAAACTAGTTATTAGCTTTTTTCGTTTTCCTGTTATTACAGATTCTGAACCATCCTAGAATTGTGATGCGTATGCGCAGAAGGAAATATGAAGACATTATTTCATTTGCGCATGCGTTGGAGAGTTCTAGGACGATTCAGAATCGATAATAACAGGAAAACGAACAGACCTAACATCGGACATATCACAGCCACCTAGATTTTATCAAATAAATAATAAAGATCTACCCAGATCAAATCATGCAAATGGTGTTCCATTTAAAATAAAAGAGTAACATGCTTTTAAAAGTGATTAATATTCAATATTAATTTTGTCTCATCCTGTATAACTTTTTGGATCAAGTTGTAATTTGATTTAAAGGACAAGAGTAAATTCCAATTTAGGTAGCTTTTATTGCAAATTAAAAATTGTTCTTTATTTCTAGAAAATGTTAAATATGTCAAAAACCTTACATTTTAGTATTTTTAGTAGATGATATACTTCTCTTATAAAACTCACCTTTATTTTTCTCCCAGAATCCGTAAATCAATTAATATATAGGGTGTTCCGTTACAAAAAACACAACTTTGATATGTGACTTTTTTTGGGGAAACCCTGTAGAACTCTCTATATTTTTAAAAAGTGCTCTGAATTAACCTACATATGCTCACAAAATTTCATTTCAATAGTTTGTATAGTCGTTCTTCTTGGCGCCTCCGCGGCGTATGGGAGGCCCCACCCTGTATATAAAAACCAACTGTTATGTTTTAACAGCAGAATTAGGAGACATTCGTCGTTGTAGCCACCCTAAGTCGTATCTATTTCTTCAAATGGATGACCCGATAACCCGAGCCGTATATGAGCATGTTTATAATTTCTAGACTTGAAACATACACATATACTGCCATTACTCGCTGACGAGTATTTGACACGCATCAGAAGATGGTCACACAAGGCGTTTTCTTTCCTGAGCTTGTTATATTGCCAAGTGCAATGTCGTAGTATAGCAGAAATATGTCGTCGATATCTCCCACACCTAACGTCAGTGTACCACTACTACTGCCATTACTCGCTGACGAGTATTTGATACGCATCAGATGGTCACGCAAGGCGTTCTTTCGTAAGCTTTTCTGTGACTGAAAAGCCCGATACGTGATGTTATCTGTCTACCGCACTTCAAACGTTCAAAAATATCATTGCTTTGTTGCCTCTTCGTTGGTGTTAACTGACATTACAATTCTTCTCCATTCCGCTCCATTGTGAGCTGCTTCTTCCCACTCATTCTGCTTTTCAATTCCCTTCAAGTTTTCGTGGTAAATATCCTTGTACCTTTTGAGTTGTCCACCCGGCCTTCTCTTACCGTCTACAAGCTCACCGTAAAGCAGAGATTTTGGTATGCGGTTTTCTTGCATTCTGCATACGTGACCAGCCCATCTTAAGCGGGACTTTGTAATCATGACTTCGATACTCTCGCAGTTAGCTTTTTCAAGGACCGATACGTTTGAGACATGATGGATTCTTAAGAGTTGTCTAATATAGAATAATAATAAATTATTCGTTTTTACTATAGTTTTAGATTTTAATTTTGTTGATTTCCAGTTATTTATTACTTTTTAATTATTTATTTACAATTATTTTTTAATTACTAAGACTATATATTTGTTATATTTTGAGTATTTTTAAATACAGGGTGTCCCACAATTAGTGCGACAAACTAAAAGGGGTTGTAGAGGGCATCAAAACAAGTCATTTAAATATAGGAACCCATGTCCGGAAATGTGCTGTTTTGGCAGGAGGTGGAGTGAAACGTAAATTTCAAGTTGCATTATTAAAAGTTATACAGGGTGAGACAAAATTAATATGAAACATTAGTCACTTTTAAAAGCAAATTACTCCTTTATTTTAAATGGAACACCCAGTATATTATTCTGGTGTTCAATGGGAAATTTATATATCAACTAATAGAATCATATCAATTCTCTCTGATTTCTCTTTGAAATTTCTGAGAAATATTTTTGCTTTAACTGACACAGAATCGTAAACTAGTTATTAGCTTTTTTCGTTTTCCTGTTATTACCGATTCTGAACCATCCTAGAATTGTGATGCGTATGCGCAGAAGGAAATATGAAGACATTATTTCATTTGCGCATGCGTTGGAGAGTTCTAGGACGATTCAGAATCGATAATAACAGGAAAACGAACAGACCTAACATCGGACATATCACAGCCACCTAGATTTTATCAAATAAATAATAAAGATCTACCCAGATCAAATCATGCAAATGGTGTTCCATTTAAAATAAAAGAGTAACATGCTTTTAAAAGTGATCAATATTCAATATTAATTTTGTCTCATCCTGTATAACTTTTTGGATCAAGTTGTAATTTGATTTAAAGGACAAGAGTAAATTCCAATTTAGGTAGCTTTTATTGCAAATTAAAAATTGTTCTTTATTTCTAGAAAATGTTAAATATGTCAAAAACCTTACATTTTAGTCATATACTTCTCTTATAAAACTCACCTTTATTTTTCTCCCAGAATCCGTAAATCAATTAATATATAGGGTGTTCCGTTACAAAAAACACAACTTTGATATGTAACTTTTTTTGGGGAAACCCTGTAGAACTCTCTATATTTTTAAAAAGTGCTCTGAATTAACCTACATATGCTCACAAAATTTCATTTCAATAGTTTGTATAGTCGTTCTTCTTGGCGCCTCCGCGGCGTATGGGAGGCCCCACCCTGTATATAAAAACCAACTGTTATGTTTTAACAGCAGAATTAGGAGACATTCGTCGTTGTAGCCACCCTAAGTCGTATCTATTTCTTCAAATGGATGACCCGATAACCCGAGCCGTATATGAGCATGTTTATAATTTCTAGACTTGAAACATACACATATACTGCCATTACTCGCTGACGAGTATTTGACACGCATCAGAAGATGGTCACACAAGGCGTTTTCTTTCCTGAGCTTGTTATATTGCCAAGTGCAATGTCGTAGTATAGCAGAAATATGTCGTCGATATCTCCCACACCTAACGTCAGTGTACCACTACTACTGCCATTACTCGCTGACGAGTATTTGATACGCATCAGATTGTCACGCAAGGCGTTCTTTCGTAAGCTTTTCTGTGACTGAAAAGCCCGATACGTGATGTTATCTGTCTACCGCACTTCAAACGTTCAAAAATATCATTGCTTTGTTGCCTCTTCGTTGGTGTTAACTGACTTTACAATTCTTCTCCATTCCGCTCCATTGTGAGCTGCTTCTTCCCACTCATTCTGCTTTTCAATTCCCTTCAAGTTTTCGTGGTAAATATCCTTGTACCTTTTGAGTTGTCCACCCGGCCTTCTCTTACCGTCTACAAGCTCACCGTAAAGCAGAGATTTTGGTATGCGGTTTTCTTGCATTCTGCATACGTGACCAGCCCATCTTAAGTGGGACTTTGTAATCATGACTTCGATACTCTCGCAGTTAGCTTTTTCAAGGACCGATACGTTTGAGACATGATGGATTCTTAAGAGTTGTCTAATATGTCTCTGTTGCAACTTGTTTAATGCGTTCATGTGTCGGCGGTACGGCACCCAGGTTTCGCTTCCATATAACTTGGTGGGAATTATTATTGCTCGGTACACTGCAAGTTTCGTTTTTGTGCTCAAGTCATGATTGTAGAAAACCCTGTCTTTTAATTTCCAGAATGCTCTTGAGGCGCTGCTAATCCTGTACTGAATTTCAGACTCGATATTGGTCTTTTCCGAAATCAAACTGCCGAGGTAATTGAATTCCGCTACATATTCCAATAGTTCTTCTCCGATTTTTATAGCATTGTTGTGATCTTCCGGGGCAAGTCCGAAAGCCTCGTATGCCCATGTAAAAACAAGCAAACATACAATAACTAGAGAACGGTGCTTCGTAGGAAAAAAAAAACGTATTGATACCTTTTTTGTAGGGAATTTCACAAGCGGGATCAATGACCACGTGGATTTTTGACATAACATTTGTAATGACGTTTTTTAAGACCTATACAAAAATACAGTTTGTTGGAAATTAATGCAAACCCACCACTTTGTTTTGTCTATTTTGTCTGGACTATTAAGTTAAACAGAGAAACTAACTGAAAATTAAGTGGAAACTAGATTGTATCTCCACGGGGAAAACATCAGTTGACACATCCCATCAACGTAATGTTCTTAATACTTGGACCGGATGCCTTTTAATACAATCTTTCCAAGTTGGCGTTTAAACATGTCGAGCACGTAACACGACACCTTAACGAAAGTTGTTCGAAAATATTAAACTCAGCCATTTCGTGTCTCTCCCCTAATTAACTTATTTTGCAAGGGTGTTAGGTCCCCCGGGTTTAATAGGAAAACTTGATTACAATCTAGGTTTCGATTTTTTTGAATATCGTTTAACGTTTAAAAAGTTTATCGTTTTTAAATAATTATTTTTCGAGAAAATGTGAACGAGCGAATTTAATAATTTGAAAACACTTTGTACAGGGTGGTCGAAATAGGTCTATTTTAAC